GCCTGGCAGCCCCCGACCGGCCACGCGACGGTCCAAGGATCTCTGTGACAACAGTGGGGCGCCACTTCTCTTGCCCCAAGCCCCGGGGCTATTCATGGCGCAGCCTTGCCCTCTCCTGCCCAGGGAACCCCTTCTTGTGTGCGTGTTCCCGTATCTCCCAGGCACCTTGCCCTTGCCCAAAGCAGACTGTGAAGAACTTCAAAAATCTCACAAAACTAAGTGATTGGGCAACAAAATGGGGTCTGCCTGGTGGTTTCTGAATTTCTGGGGCTGGCGGTTCTGGGCCACGGCCTGGCAGGACCCCATTACCCCAGCACCAGACCTGGCTGGGTTAGCGCTGTTCCCACAGCCCTGGGCCAAGGCCCCCAGTCTGGGCTCTGCCAGGACAAGGACTGGGCCAGTCCTGCACCAGCCTAGAGAACGTCTTCCCCCGCCGACTAGCCCCTGTGATTGCCTCTCTCAGGGAAGATGCCCCACTAAGAGCCCGCGGGAAAACCCCTTCCCCAGTGCTCCTCGCCCTGGCCTGGCAGCGACAGCATCACCGGGGATCCCGGGGGAACGGCGTCGCTGCTGGGCTCAGTGACGTTGGGTCTGGTCTCTCCGAGTCAGGGACATTCATGTGTGTGGCTGCAAAGAAAGGAGCCTCACCCAGCGAGGCCACCAGCACGTAATTCTCCTTCATCACGTCCCAGTACAGCTCCCTCTGCCATTCCGCTAACGCCGCCCACTCCTCCGGGGAGAAATAGACCGCCACGTCCTCGAACGCCACCGGCACCTGCAACAACACGCGGCCCCGTCTCAGCTCCAATGGGATCTAAATCTCTGAGGCACTGAAAATACTGACACCGCTCATCAAACAGCAACGATTTTTGGTCTCTAGCCAAAGGAGGCCCACAGGATCCAGGACCCGTTAGAGGGAAAAGGCCCCATCCCATGCCCCCCTGCCCCAGCCATTCCCCCCACCCTGGGGCGAGCTCAGAGCCAGCGCTCCCTAGAGGGGAAAGGGCTCTTACCCCATTCCCCACTCCCGCTCCCCAGGCCACTCTGGGCTGGGCAGGGCCTGGGAGAGCTGGGCAGAGAGGAGCCACGGGAGGGGAAGGGCTGGTGCCCGGCAGGGGCTGTTCCCTTCCATCTCCGGGGAGAGAAGAGAGGACTCGCGCAATGCAGGAGAAGCCAGGGGTCTGTGAGCCAGGGAGAGGCCAGAGGCCTGGCCTAGGGAATGGGCCATGTTGCTGGATCCGAGGCCCAGAGCCCAGGCCTGGCAGGTGGGAAGGGAAGGTCTGGGGAGGGGCAGTGAGGGCAGCTGGGGGCCATGCCAGGGAAGGAGGAGCGAGGGAGCAGGTTCCTGGCAGGGAGCACTGGGCAGGGCCCGGGGTGGCGGCTGGGAGACATTGAGCGCACTAGATACAGGAGGAAAGAAATGGGCACAAAGTGACACCCACTTGCAAAAAGAAGAACAGGAGGACTTGTGGCGCCTTAGAGACTAACAAATTTAGACTTGCAAAGTGTCTTCTGGTTATTCTGCCTCCCGGGACGTTAGCGGCACTGCCAGCCCCCAGCCCGACGCAGCCGAGTGGTCGCCCTGCGCAGCCCCTGGTACTGCCCAGCCCCCGGCCCCACGCAGCCGAGCGGTCGCCCTGCGCAGCCCCTGGCACTGCCCAGCCCCTGGCACTGCCCAGCCCCCAGCCCCACGCAGCCGAGTGGTCGCCCTGCGCAGCCCCTGGTACTGCCCAGCCCCCGGCCCTGCCCAGCCCCCGGCACTGCCCAGCCCCCAGCCCCACGCAGCCGAGTGGTCGCCCTGCGCAGCCCCTGGTACTGCCCAGCCCCCGGCCCC